AGTTGAGCATGAGGATAGCATGTATATGTCGACAGTTGACCGGATCCGAATGTCAATAGCGATGGTTTTCCAATTGCTCCAAAACCGGATGCGCGTAAGATGTGTCGAAATAACAGACGGTTGGTGAAATTCGAAAACCACGAAAATTTCTCATTGTCCTTTCCCATCACTTAGTTCAACTTTATGGATCATGCTCTATCTCAAAATGTGCAACACTTGATGAATTGCTTCATTTACCCTTTTTGAGCAATCAGACCATGAAAATGCAGTATCGTTCTGTAAGTTCAAATAATCACTTTGGAGAACTAGGTTTGTTAAATCGACCCTTCTCATGTCAAACAAGTATGTCTATGGTACTCCTTTCGGAAACTTATTGTTTCAGCGTCGATGGTGACGTGGTAATTTTCCATGCTCTTATGAACACTGTGTTCCCCAGTGGCAGATGGGAAGTAAAAATCTAGTGACTAGTATAACATTACATTGTCGTTGGCTTATTGTGCAGATGGAGAGATAGAGAGAATGTCCAGAGAATGTCCCACTTGATTTTCATGTTTTCATCATATGGCTCTGTGCACAGAGTCCTCAAATTCGTGAGTTCGAGTTTAGCTCAAACTATGGATTGCTTGAAGCGGCATGTACCGGTTAGCAACCTCGACGCATAAAATAAACAAGCACTAAATACCTTTGCGAGGATAGTGGTATTTTACACTCATGTGCGCCAAATCGACATAAGTCGTGTGCGCGCGCGTGTGTATGGATCGACCACAGGTTCACTATTTTCGTTTGCGTCCACGACCCAACTGTTGTTTGTGGGCTGACCCGTAACAAGGTCTATCGTTGTACTCACTGAATGAGTACTGCACACCACCACGTGACCGACACAGGCTGGACTGAATAACGTGCGCGCATACTCATTGTCTTGTTTTTGTTCCCGTTTCGACTCCTCAGTCAACGGCCCCAGAGTCTATGGTGAGATGCTGTAGAACCATGTTGTATTGTTTACGTAAGTCACACAGTATTCACATTTATTTCATCTTGTGCAAGTTTATCCGCGTGTGTGTGTTCGTGTATTCATGAGTAAGCGCAATCGAATTGGGTGAGCGTCTCTTTTACCTAGGCATATAAGGTAATCAGTTCACGGCAGGTGAAAGTTTTCGTATTATGATATTCTTTCTGCCCCGGTTATCAAACTCACACGGCAAGAGGATTTGAAACGATTCTCTTGTTCCGTTCCGTGTATTTGCAGTCGGCATGGACGAAAAGCAGATCACCAATCGCGTAGCAGTCTCTATATAGAGAGTGACAGTTGCGTGAAATTAGCCCATACTTATGTATTACCGTTATCGTGTGTGCGATATACAGTATTACATTGCTTTTTCAATTGGTATCTTCATTTTCAGCCTCATATTTACTATACTTTCAAATTTTACGTTTCTGGACGATGAGACAGCCATCTCTAAATCATCTCGATTACTTCTTCCAGTAGATCAGATATAACTGATCACACGAAATCCTTTCTCTATTGCTATATGCACTGTAGTTTTGCACTTATTTGTCCGTATAGAAAAAAATTGAGTCATTTTATTTTCCAGTGGTTCCCCCCTACTTATTAGTTATGCATTCTCATCTCACTGATTTGGTATTTATTTTGGGGGTAACAAGCAACTTGAACTTGCATCGCAGTATATTTCTATTCCTCGCTCCAGCAATCTGCTGTCACAAGGACAATAATTATCATGCCTCCCTGTTTAGTGAAGGTCACCGTTCCACACAAGTACATTCAGGGAACGCAAGTTCTCTCAATCTGTTTTTCCCTTCGTTCGCGCTCAAACTCGTCGCGAACGAAATTCACTGTAATACACACGGCTAGTCTACGAATAATTGCTACGACTCTATTTCGTTTAAGAAGATCACGTTCGCTGCAGTGTCCCGTCTTCGCCCACCCGACTTCTCTAAATCACGCTGTACAGCCCCCTCTGAATGTTCGTTTGCAGCACATTGGTAGGTTTGTGATGCCTAAAACCGACAAAGCCACATTGGCTAGCTTCCGTCTCCGATATGGATGCAGACTTCCGCCATCCCATAGCTTGATGCACGTATGTACATGACTGACGCGTTCTGAAGCCAGGAGAACACGTGAGTGAGTCTGCTGTCCCCCCTCCACTGGCGCTTGTGTGCGGGTACTCTAGTGTATGTTCGCGTCTGTCTGTTTGTCTAGTGGTACACATTGAGGGATACCAGGTTTGGATCAGACAGTCAGCATGTCTGCGAACGCGTTTGTGCATACGCTCATATATATGAGTGCGAAAGGCTCAGGACTCCACAATGCATTTAGCCCCACCCCATCCCATTCTTAACCACTTTCCCAGATCATGACTCACATTAGTATCAGTCTCTACCTATTAAAGGGATTCAAGGGGATTCTACACTATCTGGTCCATCAATACATTCGTCCCCTCCTAACCGTTAAAGACTAGGGCGGAGATCGTACGATGTAGATGTGACACAGAGAGAAGCCCCGTAGATAATGTGGTGATGCTATCTTTGATCGGCCAATTACTGACTAAACGAGGTCATTTTGGAGACCCGGACAGGCTAAAACGCATCCATGTTGTACAACTCAAATCGGTTAAGCGATCCGGTATTGTTGACCTTGACCGATACATTCTCTTGGGCACGTGTGTGCGCTTATAGCTGCGATCAAAACATCTATTAGAGTGGTGTGAAAAACGTGCGTTCTTCCGGTATGGGGACCCGGTACTCTATTGCGGACAACTTGCATGCAAACGCAGCCCTACATCATGAGAGTGACTGAAACATGTGTTTTGTTTGAGTTTTGTGTCTAAGGGACGTCTCAGACTTGGTACTTAGAGCTCGCGTGTTATATAAATTTTCGAATCGATGTCAAGTTTGAACAAATTTGCAAAAACCTTCTTAACTAATAAGAATAAGAAGGGGAAAAAACTGTTTGAGATATCATCCGAATCAGTCTTCACACAATACGTTTTTCTTTCACTTCGTGTCGACGGATGAACGCCATGAGGACCGAGGCTTAGTTCATGACTGGTGTTGGACGTCAAAAGGGAGTCTCGAATACCAGTGAACCTATCGGGTGTCAGTTACAAACAGGCAGTCCACTGTCTTGGTGTTAAACTGTGACTGAGTTTCCAACTAAGGCATAGAGACACACCAAGCCAATACCACAAACAGTCTCTTTGCCAGACAAGCCTCCATTTTTTGTACTGGGCTCGCTTCGGTATTTTTCTTATCGGATTTTCTAAAGGAGACGAAAATTGGCGGTCTGATCGACCAGGGAAAAGATTCAGTCAAGCCTAAACTTCAGACATGCTTGGCCTGATCGATCTTTTGTTTATTAGCGTTTGAGTCGAATTTTCGTGTGAGACCTTATTGATTGATAACTTACTCACAAGAGTGCATTAAACATATCCCTTGTTCCTTTTACTATAAGAGGGACAATTACATAGTAGTTTACTTGAACCAGTATCTTTGGAAAAAAGTAGGGCAAAGTTGCCATAGTTAGGCTTTCCTTGCTCAATTAGCACGATGGAATTCGAAGCAGATGGATGTGTGTGCGTGTGTATGTGCGCAGGTCGACGTGACACTTTACGATGCACGAGTGGGATTCACTTCGCGTGCAAGAGCCAATCGGCATTCTGTCTGGCATGAATGTTCTCTGCGCCTAAACTCATTTTCGTCTCACCATTTCACAGTAGCCTGATTCAGCGAACCAATAATATTTAGAGCATGAGCGCGTCATTCTGTGCGCGCACGGATTCATGTGATTCAACTCACGTCTGCTCACCGCTTCCATCAACCAATCCAATCGCGCGGAGAAAAAGGGTCTAAATGCGTATGATGCGATGACGACTTTGGAACTGAACTGTGTATTTCAGAAAAACGACAACAAAACCTGCTACCATTAACTATACCTGAAGAGTAAAAAAATTGATGAAAAAATGATAAGGCAATATTTTTTTAAACCATCACACATTCAAATGGTCCTTACAAATTGGTTTATTAAGCATTCGTAGCTACAAAACCCTCCCCTAGTAGCTCCAATCAGTAATCTTGAAAAGTCTTGATCTGAATACATCATGAAGCGAGTATATATATCAGAGAATACATAAGTTGTTCACAAAAATGAGATAGATCGTGATGCGAGAGGTATGTCGATTTTCCCTACCCACTCCTGATGACCCGGAACCAGCGCGCATGTGTGAGGACCAAAGTGTGAGCAACATCCGATCATGGAACTGGAATGTTGATTATCTCTTTTCCAACTTGTCATGATTTCTTACCCCCCCCCCCCTTCTAAACAGTTTGATATAAATTGTGATGTATTCGCCTGTAGGAAATTCACCGCAAACGAGCTTGTTCAGTACTCTGTGTTTTCTTACAGTGTGTAATGTTGTTATATTCGGACAGTTTATGGAACGGTTCAAACAGGAAGTTGCATCGTGCTGTTGTTGCTGAGACCGTTAATCACGATTCAAGAAACAATTGAAATTGACAAAATGCTGCTTCAACTCTTTTTAATCCAGTAATAGAATGCGAGAACAATAAACAAAAGTATCGGTGGATGAAGTCCAAAGAGGTCGTTCGTGGGCGTTCCAAAATATGTAAAGGATATCGTTTATAAATGTCTGTATTGATTCAGAATTATCTCATTAGTAGAAGTGTTAGTATTAACTCAGTGAATTGTCATCATCATTATTACGTTATCCATAAGAAAGCATGATAGGCTGGAAAGGCATTCTATAAATTCGCATTTAACTCACAGTTACTTGTGAGTAAACTTGGTTGGCAGTAGAAACTTTAGGTTTGTAACCAATGCCAGCAGGATAAATGCATAAGATCAGTCTTCGGTAAATTCGAAATTGTTCTCTTTATTTACTACGGTTTTGAGCAAGTCGGCTAAAATACATTGAATTTCACTCATTTGTTTGCTCTCTTATCATTCGCTTCAGGGTCGTATTCGTATGCAACCGTCGAACGAGGTAACAGACTCACATTCAGATGAAGACATACGTCCATCCGCCGCTGACAACCAGGCTGCCAAACGATGTGACAGTCCTGCTGATCGAGATGCTTCCATGGAAGCCAAGCTGGACTACAGTACCACCGTCACGAGCAACAAACGTTCGCCTGCTGTGCATGAATCATGGTCCGAAACAGGATCTGATTATCCGAGCCCAAAACGTTCCAGAACTGCAGATATTCCTCCGGACTTGGTCGAGTCTACACCGCGAAGCAGTGGAACTCCGTTGATGGAAGTCAATCCTCCCAAAAGTACCATTCCTCAAAGTTTACCACTCATTTTGTCCATTGGTAATCCCGGCAACAGTATTATGAGTCCTCAGTCTGCCTCACAAGCATCATCCACAATCACGGTCTGTCCACAAACTTTGAATTCTACTGCAACCACATCTGTATCATCGAGCAGCCCGTTTATCGGTCAACTAATCCCTTTGTGCGGCCTTTCTGATAGTCTCCTATGCGGTGTGTCTTCTGCCTTACTGACCAATGGAACGAACTCAACAACTTCCAGTTTGACAGCACATTCATTGATGGGTAATACCCTTTCTTTGCCAGTCCTGGATGCGCAGACCGCGTTCACCACACCGGTTTCGGGTTCCACATGGCTGTTGACCAACCAACCAAATACAATCACAGCGCACATGACAAGTGGTCAAAGTCATCTTAATCAATTGCCACCCACCGTACTCGTTCCGGTTCCAGCCGCGCTAGGCGCTGAGAATTTGTTAGGTGCGGCTGCAAGACATCTGGTCACTTCATCAGCGGATACCAACGGGGGCACGATATCTGCCAATCCGCCCATTCATAGCAGCACTGCTGGTCAAAGTAGCACGAGTGCCGCTACGACCACAACTAACACAATCATGAGCACAATTACCAATAATACAGGCCTGAACAGTCTACGCGTCTCCGATGTGCTGGAAGCATTGAAATCGTTTGCAGCCGGAGGGAATCTAGCCGCTTCGATCAGTTTACCAGTAGCCGGTGCTTCAACCTCACCGGTGACGAGCACCGTGTCTGCTTCCAGCACAGGAACTACCCCAAGTTTCTTCGGTTTCTCCACCCCATCCCGCAATTCCGATCTCCTATCTATTTCCGGCGGGCCAAAAACTAACCTGATGACCCACGGGACTACAGTGATAAATCCTGGCGGATTGACACTTGTCAGCAGTAACAGTAACACTACTAGCAATAACAGTGGTGGTAACAATAACAGTACATTTTCAACCACCCAGTTGCCTGCAGGAACCCATGTCGTTTCGGCTAGTGGGTTACTCAGTCAGTTAGCAATGGCAGCCGCAGCAGTAAATGTTTCCACCTCAGAACCGAGCAACAAAGCGACCGAATCCACTGGTGCAATCAATGGACTCACGGCCACTGTGATTCCAACGGGAACTCCCGAACAGGCACTCGACATGTCGGTACGTTGAAACTTATTATGAGTGTCATTTTTTTGAAGAGCTGGGGAGGGCAGAAGAGTGTAAACTCCGTTCTATATGATTGGCTCTGTTTTGGTATCCAAAAATTCCGCATTCGAGTTGACTGACACGTTTGTCAGTGTATGGTTTAGGCGACTGGGAAAAAATCCGGCTGGATGATACAACATGTTTTGTGTGTGTGTGTCTGCCCCCGAGTAGATTCATCCGTGTTTCTTTCATTGTAGGGAATCCGTTCAATGGTTTTGTCACATCTAACTACCATTGATTTTCTTCTCCGACCGCTTGAGTACCAGAGAAAATAGGCTTGACGGGTGGTGTGCAGTACCAGTTTAGACTGATATTACATCAGTGATGACTGACAGAATCCGTTTGTTTCTGAATTTTCAGAGAATTTTGCCAGTAACACTTAAATTAAGATATTGTCAAGATTCATTTTACGATCGTGAGTAATCTGTCGGTGCAGGAGGTTGCCAATTGCTAAATACTAGGTTTGTGTGATCAGGTATTCTAGATTTCAGCTTTTACCAAACATTATCTGCTTCGGTTAGGGACCTAAAATGGTCAAATGACACATTTTAGTTTAACTTTGCGATTTCTAAAATCAGCTGAGTCCATTCCATTTCAAGCATCTCTGCATTTTTGAAACAAGCACAGTTCAAGATTTTTTTCGGTTTAGTAATGTTGAGTGATTCGCTGCAAAAAGAGAAAAACAATGAAGAGGTTCGTCAATAGCGTCTCATTGTTTTTAGCTCATTTTGATTAGTATGCGTTCAGTTGATCAATGAACTCGGTGATTATATTTCAGATATCAGTCGAGCTAATATTTTTGTGCAAACAACCGTATTGAAGCGGTTACTCTACTGGTACGGTCCATTTACGAAAACACATTTATTAGGCCATGTTTTTAAAAGGAAATGGTCGAATTAAACTGTGCCACACACTCCATGAATGGCCTATGATCACGCAGGCTTCAGCAGACAGTTTGAGTGAACTCTGGGTCGTCTTTGTTATGTTAATGCTTTATCCACTCTGATCTGCTATGACCCGGAGTACTCCGCACTTGTTAGTTCACGCGCGCACACACACACCGTATTCCCCCTGCTGTGCGATGCGCACAGTCTGACTCATTTCGTTCCCGCAATCTCCTTTCCCAAGCAAGCATGGTGTACACATACTCGCACACATACCGCCCTACACAAACCACCTGGTTCATTGTCCTCCGATCGATGATGCAACGGAATAACCGGACTAACACCTGGTTTTCCCCACCTTCGCTCTCTTCGTGTAGGCGGATATGAGACTTTTCTGAACCCAAGCGCTCACCCTTCGTGCGGCGTATGATGTTCTTCCATATGTGCTCTAGCCGGCAACATACATGTGGTTTGCTTGTATGTGAGACTGCGCCCTCTATCTCCCAGTTCCATTGGAGGAAACTCTTTCTAGTGAGGGGCTTCGTACTAGTCCACCCACTGACCGCTTCAAGCTTCTGTTTGAAACGAAATTTACTACATTATCTAGTACAGATTTGGTCAGCGTCATTTTTTTTTTACTCGAAGCCATCGGCATCCACATCCCCCTCCTCCCACCCGGCCTACCAACTTCCCTTTCACACATGGGCCCAAGCACACGCGTATCTCCTGCTACTTTTACTAGGACATTGAATGCACACTCGATACATCTCAAACACAAACGTGTTGAGGTGTGTTTTCCCAGTGTTGCACCCTGTGCTATCGCAATATTCATCATCGGCGAGTGGACCGGTGTTTGCTTGGGAGCAATATTGTCAGATTTTCTCTCACTCTCGCTCTTTCGTTCATCTTTACAACTCCCTATTTCGGAAGCGATACCTGCTTATACGTTCCTATTCACATATGTCAGTAGGGTGGTTTGACAATACAGTATCATTTCTTCCAGGTTAGCCTCTTGCCTACCATCCCGTGGGCGGGCAGGGAAACAGCCTCGAGTGAAGTAATTTGTTGATCGGACTTAGGACAGTGGGAAAATGTGAACCATCGTGTTACTATTGTATGCATTCCAATTAATCAGATCAACTATGCCTTTTCAACTGATATATTTCAAAAACGAAACTATGAACAAGAGCAAAGTGCGTATTGCTGAAGTCAAGGTACTTTGCCCACTCGATAAGTCCCGTGGTACAAGCTTCTTCAAGGGGGCTGCAACGTCAATTCCTAAACAATCACCGCCAAGTAGATCGATCGATCTTGACAATTTTGTCTCAGGCCAATTCCCCCCCCCCCCCCCCCNAGATGACGGGCGGAAAGTCCTGGGGAATAAGATTCACCACTATATCACTGATTCTCGTATTAAGAGAATAATCATTCATTGAAGAAATTCGCTGTGGGACAACTCATTCATAAATAGATAAAAACATCCTTTACTCAGAACCTCGGGTGCAGGTGAATAATATCAGATGCTATATTGACATCGAGGTCGTGGTGAGAGGGTGGAAAAGGTTAATAACTCTGGGTTATCGGAGGGAAAAACTAAGAAGATATATTTGCTTTTGCAGACAGCAATTGATTTATGACCATTCCAGACAATTGTGATAATATGGGCATTGCCCCAGCTCTGCACAATGCACGTCGGTTCAGTGCAGTGACGATCGTGAGTCTCTACTTTTTTCACTTAGATCAGCTGGTGACTTAAGTTATTGATTTCTGTCTGCGTCCGACGATTTAAGCTCCCAGCGTTTAAATTTTCAAGTAGACTAGGTCACGTGAGTATGCTCAGCCAGCATCACCGAATGCTCCCATTTGGCATCAGAACGAAAGCGACAGTGATTTTGAATGACGAGACGACCATGTTCAAAAGGAATCCGCATCTCTTTTGACGGTATTTTACTGACGCCCCAGTTGCTTTGCCTGATGAACCAATACGACTCATGATAACATGGTAAACCCATGTCGATCCGTTGGAAAACCATCGTTTGCGATTTCACCATTCAAAGTTCAAGCTCCCCTATTTTAATACTGTATCACTTTGTTGAAACAAGATAACCCACTTTTACCCTCAATTATAGCGAATTCAAGTGGTTTTTGCCCATAAATATCCGGATTTAGGTTCAACAGGAAACAGTTTACACTGTCTAATATCTCTATCCTCATTGGTCTGAAATGAATAATTGAGATTCCTTTTCGCCCCAGTGCATTTAGCACTGCCCCCTACTGGGTTTAGAATTTATTAAATTCTCCTCTGTTAAATGTCATTCTAAGCTCTGGGTAGGCTCAGTTTAGGAAATATCGTCATAGCCCCTTTTTGCACCATGTAGTACAAATATATACGCTTTATGAAGTCTTGGCGATCGTCTCCTGTCTGTGTGAGCCAGTCAATTAGAACAAACGTGATCACTCCCCCTCAGTACTTGGTTATGAAAGCATCCTAACCTTGTGTGTAGCGAGCCCGTCTCCGATTGTGCAAGGTTTGCACTTTGGGCAAGTCCCTCCCCCCATATTATGGATAGATGTGGTGGGAGAAACGTCCCACATAGCAGTCATCGGTTTGTTTGTGTACACATATACACACACGTGAGCGAATATTTGTTCGTGTGTGTGCCTACGACTGATATACGTTTGTATCTGTGTTCATTTTATGGGCGCGTGTTGCCTGGCGTGAGGTTTTCTCAGAAGACTCCACACTCCACTTCGGTTCAGACTGAAGATCTCTGGAAGAGATGGGCTGGTTTGGTAGGTTGTTGGTCATGGGATTGTGCGTGATTTCTGGTGGTTGACAGGGCTGCAGGATTTAGTAGTCAGACTGGAAGAGAGACAAACAGACTCGCCCGCCCGTCCGCTCTCTCGCTCTTCATAGTACACACACACATCGATATGGCACATGTGTGCTAAAAGAGACCACGTTAACTTAAACAATCAGAGGGATCGGCTACATTTGGTCAATCGTACGATTGAAGGGGTTATGAACAGACGGTAGATAGATAGGTGGACAAGTAGTAGTAATAGTACCAGTAGTAGTGCGAGTGCATAATCTCTCTGTGTGCACTCCTGGTTGGACTCGTGGAGTCGTTCTAGGATGATGGTGGTGGTGGTGATGGGTAACCAGACAGCGGCTGAGCGCGTTCTGCTAAATTTTGGGAACATTTGCACGCATTTGTGTTAGTGGTTCTCCACATTGTCGTCCGTATAAGCTTGTATGTGTGTATGGGTGTGTTTGTGCATGCGTGAAATGAAACAGTGTGAACCAGAGAGCGTCTGCTTGCCAAGACAGTTTACATTTGAGACTCATCGGACTGTACAATAGCGGTTGGTTTTATGCATCTGCGTGATACTCGCCAACACACGCGCACACGTGGAATTATCACCCACCGTTTGTCTATCTCTGTGCTCTGATAGAGCGTACTGACCGACCGGTTTGCTCGATGGTCACAGAAGAAGGGGAGATGATGAGACGAAACCGGTGGAACTGGATCCATCATTAGACCTGTTGCCTGATCCACCTATCTCTCTTTATCTTCGATTTTTATCATCAGACAACTAAGGCTGTGCAAAGACAAACGAAAGTCAAAGGTCTGATATAACCAACAATGCACCATTAACAACATAGATTGTAACCGTTATGGTTTGTGGGATTTGTATTCCTAAATGAAACGTGTCTGGTTTTACTAACTTTTATGAACGGAGCCCATTGTTACATAAGCAAAACTATTGCGCGACTATTCACTAACGAATTCCGTGCTGCTCGTTTCAGAATCATACAACTTCATTTCTTGTATAAAATAAATGGTGCATCGACTGAATTGAGCTCCTCAGACGGCTTGTTCACGTTTCAATTTCTCCCTTTTGCGTGATTCCTAAACGTCAGGTCTTGGTGTCGTGTCAACTCTGATCGAACATTCAGGATCGATTCGCTCATACTCAGTAGATCTCTCTTGTGAGGGCTCAGTGTAAACCATTTAACAGATTTCTTTAACTTCGGGATTTTTCGTTGGTCTGTATTATGTAGAACTGAACATAGTGTGGTCAGTTTCTGGGGTTTCAGTGTCAGTTTTTACAACCATTAACTATGCATTTTCATTCGCCGGTTTGGGTTGCTGTCCTTTGGTTGACCATGTGGATAAAAGAGCAGGATGAAGTTTGGAATGTTGGGAATAGAGTCAAAGAGAAGATAGAGGATTCATATAGCCTCGAGTGGCAAGAATAATGAGTAGACACACGAGCTCCACTGTTTCCGACATCCAGTCATATCACAGTGTGTGCCAAACTCTGAACAGCTGTCTCGCGTCTGCTCTCAAGCGGATCGAAATTGTACTTCCGTTGTGCTTACTATTACCGTGTGATTCCACCCAAAGTTTCATTCTGTTCTGGTCTTGTTCTGTTAAAGGATACCGGCGAGACGATGGCAGTTACAAAAGAAGGATAAACTGGTACTAATTTAACAAAATTATCAACCTTAATTCTATACCTCGAGGCTAGATTCGATGCAATTCTGTTTTGGATTACGTGAGTGTATCGTTGGTGTGCGTTTCGAACCACAAGTGATCCTCTTTAGCCAATTCTTAATACCAAATTGGGGTGAATAATGTTTATCAATAGAATTGTCACCTGGGAACAACCACGGTTAAGTCGTAGCTTTTACTTTATATACTGTATTACTGAAATTTTTAACATCCACCTTAATTTTGTGTGTCTTAACTGACCTATTAATCTCTCTCCAACGAATAGTCTTCAGTTGGTGTGATCCGTTTGGGATCTATAGTCATTTGGTCCGTGTGCAGTTTTGGACATAAATGTGCACTCGTTCTATCGGTCTGTTATCTGTTTTGAACTATCTTTAGTCTGACAAGGGTTCTTCAGGCGGTTGAGACGATTCTCCAATCTGTTTGGGATCTTAATCAAAGGGACACGAATGAGCTTGATTTATACGTGCATCAGATGTGCAGTGCTCCAGTGACGTGTTTTTTTTTGTGGATCGGTACGCAGGTGCGCCAATAAAGTCTTTGATAGTGTTTTCACACTTTCCGTTTTTCAGGTAAGGTTTTTTTCCCACGCTCTATCATGCATCCGTACGGCCACCAATACGGCTCAACACAAGGTGGCAATATTCCGCAGTTCATATTGGCGCCTTGACCTGCAGTATCTCAGCCGCTTCAGGTGAATGTTGAGGAAATATGACTTCCCACCCCCTTCCCAGCTAAGGTGCTGGCGATGAGGCGGTCGTAATGACATAGATATCGGACTGGTGGTTTCACCAGTTTCCCTCGGCCGAATCAGATTTGGTCTCATCTTTACATCCGCGCCGCGCCGCGCCCCCCCTTTCCCTCCGTGGAACACCCAGGTATCGCTGAGATGCTAGTGCTTGTGCTACTAAGGCGCAAAACTCACACCAGTCTGATACACTTCAGGGGGTTACCAGGTTTGACATATTCATGATCTGAGTCCTAGCAACTACGGGGCTGACAATTGAGACAGAGTGAGTATTTACGCGTCGGTATGTATGCGTAGCCAGAGGGGCTGACTGAACGAGGGAGCGGGGTAGGGGGGTGAAAGAGTCCGACAGCATTGTTCCTGCATCACAGGGACAAGTCGAGTCATGCCGAAAGCCAAACTGACCCGATTTACCATGGCCTCGGTCTACGGTAGTTCAATTAGCTGACCATCTTGGCAACTAAGGGCCCTGGCGCGATCAGGTACGACGTGATTGGTTTTTGTCTTGCAGTTCAGCATGCGGTCAGAAAAGCCGGGCATGGTATCATTGACTGCTGAGTTGATATGCTCTAAGAAGGATTAATGGGTATTGTTTCTCCACCACTCCTCCCCCCCCACCGCTCCAGGCACCGGTAGACGTATACACGAACCTGGATCTCCGCTGAACAGACTGATAGTCTCGTTTAGACGTGTTATTGGGATCGTCCGTTTGACTTGAGCTTACTGATAGCGTCGAAGTTCGGAGAGCTTACTTGTGCATAACGGGATTTTCGGAATCCCCCTTCGCATTTATAACTTTCAATTTGTTTTCATACATAATAGGACAACTTACTCAGCGGCTTTATGGGAGTATGGAGAAGTATCATTTTTTATGGGCACAGGTTTGCACACTTTGAGTTGATTACCTTTTTCACCCAAAGGATGTTTTGATATTTTTGCTATAAATTCGGCCGTCTGACTCGTTGTGGACTGTAAATAATCAACCGCATATAATAATAACACATTGTCCTTCTACACAATTGAGGTAAATCTGTTTCTTCGGATGTGATCATCAATTAGAAAATATCACGTGTACTAGAGATGTGGGCAAGTGGGATTATAATCCCGGAGTTTGGTTATATAACCTTCAAATTGTTAAACTCTTATCCGGATTTGTGAAGTGAATTGTAAATTGATACAATTTTTTTATTGCACATCCTGGTATGGTGTGCAGCAATAGAACTGAGTCCTCTGATTACAGGGATTTACTATTCCGTTCTGGAAACTGACAGACCAACATGAATTTGTCCTGGATAGGAAGAAAGCTGTCTACCGGTAAAATGGGCTAATTACCCGACTGCGCTCCAGTAATTTGCATAAAACTCACATATTTCTATTTTCACTCCGGCTTGGTTATCATAGTGCATAAATGATCAAAGCTATATCGTTCGCACATCTTTTTCAATGCAGCTGACATTTTTTTTCTTTCGAAATAATCAACCCTGCCATTTCCTCTCTCTCTTTTCTATTCATGGATCACCTGAATGTAGGTAAGATCTGGACTGATCTCTCTGAATGCTCTAGCTCCGATGAGTAATGGCACTTGGCTGAGTAAATCAACTGACGGGAATTCAAACTCTCCACAGTTGACGTTAGCTCTAGATACGGTCGACGGTAAACCGATTCGTTCAGACCAAACCACTGTGCATGGTGTAATGGAAGCACTCAATGCGGCACTGAAAGGAAGTCTTCAGAAATCTACCAGGCTTACCATATCGTCGGACGGAACTGCAGGTTACCAAACTACCGGGGACGGCGAATCCGGTGTTTTGGAAACTGGATCGCATCTGATCTCCGGTTCCACTAAAAACCTCATTACTGCAATTGATCCGGATCAAGTATTAAATACATCAGGTTTGTTGAAAACGACCACCTCAGGAACCCAGTCTATCATTGTTCCGTTCCCAGCGTTAAGTCTCTCCTCAACCGGCTGCAGTACGCCTGACCTTATGACCGATCCGGAAAGTGGGCGCTCTAGTGTATCCCAGTTATTACCGCCACCGCCACCACTACAGTCAGTACAACAGCAGCAGCAGTCGAATACGGTTATCACTGCAAGCACATCTGTGGGAACAGTGTTAACTAATCCATCCATCATTTCAACAAGCCCTATGCTTGTTGGTCCATCGCAATCGCAGCTCGTCAATTTGGCTCAATTGCAAGCTATTATGGCAGCTCTAGCCGCCGGGGGAACCATGTCTATTCCCACACAAACAGTATCTGTTGGTAATACTAGCACTGTAAGTGGAGCAATCGCATCCGCGTCCGCATTGTCCGGATCAGCAGTGCATGCTGGACAAACACAGACCACCACATCCACGACGAATGGAGAGTCTGGTTCGAATTCGACTCAACTTGGTGCGAATCAACTACTGATGAACCATCATCCAATCACCTCCGCAAACACTTCGCCTCATGGTGCCACTGTTGAGTCCACTGGATCGGCGGCCATGCTCGTACCAACGCTGAACTCACTGAACAGTGTATGTGGTCTCACTTTGACGACAAATCCCGTTGGTCTGAGCACTCCAGTATCCACATCTGGTGCGGCTATCACAAGTGCTCTCGGTAACAGCACGTCATCTGTCGGTGGCTCCATGCTAACCGGTCAGACAGCATCGTTGAAGGGTATTTCATTACCTTCCGTTGATGGTGAGTATTAGAACCAAGCATCTGATTGCCATTTTCCCACTTTCAATGACTGCGATCGGAACACATATTTACAGTTTGGTTATTGCGGTTTTCACCATTATTTTTCACCACTTGTAATGACATAATAGATAAAATACTATAAAAACACCAGTAGAAGACAAAGAATGCAAGACATCTTGAATAAGCACGGAGGGTGTTGCTTTTTTCAAACACAACAGCTTAGCCTAGTTTCCTCAAACTTCCATTGGGCAAATTCGGGCTGATTAACAAGCATTTCATTGAGAACACGAATCGGGGTTAGAACTCAGCCACAAACCAATCGTCAAAAGTCAGTTGTCTGTGCACTGTTCGGAGACTTGTGTCATTTGATGATTGTGGCTGTGCCAAATCTAGTGATATTCCAACGTCGATGTAATTCACTTATCTTGTTTACCCAACGGTCATGTATCCGTGGGACGTAGTAAAACTAACCAACGGTGCTGTAGATTGCAACCAGTATTTGACTGGGAAATGGATGTCTCTATACCTGATCACGATTCGTCTACCGATAAAATTATATCTAATGAATGAAATACATCTGATGTTGTTCATTTATTGTCTAACGATCGAGTAGCCTTCCCCCTTTTGACCAGTAAAGCTGCCAAGATTTTCTTTCAACTGTCGAACTAAATCTTAAAACGTTTAGAGTATTTGTAGTAGCGATTTTGGTTTTGTTCAAAAGATCTAAAACCTCGATGAGATTCAAACCAATGCACAGTGATGGCATCTACTATGTTTGGATGCGAATCCTTTGGAAGTTTCTGATCTATTCACAATTGTATTACACGAAGAGGAGTTTGTATTGAATGAAATATTCGGTTCCAGTGAGTGTTTTCACGTGTATTTTTAATATTTACCAATCATTGAGAGTGAATACCCTCGTGAAGATTTAGCCAGTGCATCTCTCGCATATTTCTGTATCATTCTAACCATAAATATTCTCGAAGAGGGAATCTGAGCTATATGACCGGTGTCGCAAACATGACTGATTTATGTTTTGCGCCAAAATAAGGGCCCGTATCTCCTCTCAGGTGAGATCTTCGTGAGGCTAAGATACAGACACAGACGAGGTCACATTCTACATTGATTATTGGTGATCAATCACGGGCATTGCATTGGATCCCTGTTCGTTCGGGTTTGAATGATATTCGTGCGACGGACAACGTTGTGAGTTTTTTCTTCGGGGTGCTACAAACACCGAGGCGTATCAAGAACTGTCATCGGCCAAAAGCCCCGAACTCAACTTTGCATGACCCGGACCGGTGTGACTTGTACATTGTTTTGATAGGCGTATTATACGCGTACAGCCAACTTAGAGAGCACGATAATCCCCGTCCGGGTTGGTGGGCGGGGACTGTATGTGTGTCAACACACTATCCATCGATTACCGTATTCTCTCGTCCGAATGGGCTCTTGTCACCATCTATGCATCTATTAAAAACATCATTCAAGTCAGTGCTGGTCGCATCATAGCCAAGCGATCCAAATCAGTCATTTCGTTAATCGAACTTCATCGTCGTTCCTCGTTCTCACCCTCCCCCCATAGCCATACTAGAGGTCATTTGCACTGGCCTGCATGGACTCGGCTCAGGTTAGCTCATTCCTTGTGTTTTGTGCCTGTGTCCGATTGTTTCGTGCGATAGGTCTTCTCCATTTGGTCAAAAGATAGACACCATAGTTTATATTCATGGATGATGAGGAGCGTTTGAGCATCATTCCGTCACATACACATGGCTATGGATCACGAACCCTAGGAACTATGGACGCCTATAGGCATAAACACAGACACACATACAGCGATGTGACACAAGAACCAGATAGATCTGTAAAAATGCAAATTCTCAAGCCCTGGCTCAACCACTCGCGTTATGTTCTTGTGTGTCCGTCGCTGTGTATATGTGTGCGCGTGTGTGTGTGTGTGTGCGTGAAGGTAAATGAACAAATTGATGATGGAGCAGAGGGTCTCATCCTCCTTTCCCACCCCTTCCCCCTAGTCAGCCCATCTCACTGTCAGATTATGTTGACCCGCATCGGACGCACACTTGAGTCGGCGCGGACATATCGTGACAGTTGAATAAGGATAAACTATTAACAGAGACTTGTCGTTTCGAGTTGCACCCCTTTGCTTGTCAAAATAAAGATGTTATTATAGACTCAGATTAAATCAATCCGTACCCTTGTGCACCCTTGTGGT